TCTCTCTCGTCTCTCTCTCTGTCTCTCTCTCTCTCTCTCTCTCTCTCTCTCTCTCTCTTCTCTCTCTCTCTCTCTCTCTCTCTCTCTCTCTCTCTCTCTCTCTCTCTCTCTCTCTCTCTCTCTTCCTCCGTATTCACGCACCGTTCTGCTCTGTTTCAGCTGCTGCGCCAGGAACCAGAGCGGAGGGTTGCGTCATTGGAGCGTATCAGAACGCTGCCTTTCTGCAGGACATGGATTTTGATGCCGTATACAACAAGCAAGTGCCAGTGCCATTCATACCGCCGGTAAGTCTGTCAGTCAGCCAGCCAGCCAGTCAGTCAGTCAGCCAGTCTGTCAAGTCAGTCAGTCATCAGTCAAGCTATTCGCAAGTCAACCGGTCTGTTTTCTATTCATCTTTGTCTCCGTCCCAAGATGCTAGAAACCAATCAATATTGCCTTACCAAATGACGAGAATATGTAAATGTAAATGCCGTTACGAGATTTGATGCCATAAGCTTGTAACTTGCATCAAACGTGCTTGAACGAATTACCACTTCCCAAGTTGCGAAGTGAGGATGGCGCACCGTCCTATGTGAGCGCAAACATTCAAAGCGCATGCATTGCTGCTCGTCAGCGAACACATGTACAACTTCCGTGTTGACACTGGGTAGTTTGAGAGGACTTAGTTCGTGTGCGTGTGTGCGATGGGGGAGGGGAGGGGAGGGGAGGGAAGGGGAGGGAGAGGGGAGGGAGGAGAGAGAGGGTCGGCTGGTGTCTCGACTATCGATTGGCAGCCGCTGACCACCTCAGGGGAGGGGGAGGGACCTGGGACAGAGGGGACAGCGGTACTGATGGCACGTCCAGAAACAGTCACATTAATATTCACTGGAGCGGTTCGCATAACGAGAATAGGGCCGTGTCCATAGTTCCTGCACTGCGATAATCGGGACACCGATATTGATGGCCTGTCTGGCTACGCTGTGTTACAACTTCCCTGGGGTCTTTACGACGTCGTGTATCGACAGCGTAGTAAAGGGCGAGCAAATTTTTTTCTACCTAATGCTTATCATTATCACTATCGAACTGTATGTAAATGTATATTTGTGTTGATGCCTCCATCTCAAGGTATTTGACAGTAACGTTTAATTTCCTTTTTGTATCGAGGAAAGCTCCAATGGGAGTCGCGCATGTGATATATGCCATCCTTGCAGTGCCACGTCATATAAGCCGAGGGAGGATTTGGGAAATGTGACAACCATCCTGGCAACTATGACCCTACGAGCCATAACAAATGGCTCCGTCCCCAATGCCCTGGAACATGCAGAGGGAAGGCGAGGGACTGCCTGACTACCTGGGGCCTTTCATCTCATGGCCTCAGGTGTTACCGACCAATCTCATTGGCGGCGTCATCGACCAGCCCCGTGGCTGAGAGTGGTGATTGGCTGAGCAGGTTTACCCGCTGGGAGGCTAACCCTGGCATAATGGGGCGTAATGGAGGCATAATGTGGTAAATCAAAGGAGTTTCTCGCAAACCGCCACTATAGCGAGTCTGTTTTTCGTCGATTGTCTTGAATAATGTCACTGTATATTTCGTCTGACATGACAACCGTTATACGATGAGCTCGCCAGTCACCCCTTCTGCCAGGCTATAAAGAAGTCCTATAAAGATGACTATTTGATGCCATAATGTTTAAAGCTCATCGCGTCATTTGAATGAAAGCTGGTGGTTTTGAAAGCAACGTTTACAAAAACTTAGCATCACCTCAGTCATCATTCTAGTCCTGAGACTGTTATGTTTTACGCAGCTTTACATTCCATACTGATGCCGTAATGTGCGTTTGGCACAGCATCAATAAGAAGCATGTCAATGACGATTCACCGGGCCAGAAATGACGAAACAGACGGTGGCTCGGTAGATGCTATAGTGCTATATCTTGGTTGATGTTGATAGTGTGTCCCATACCCTATCGCACTTTTGTCTCTTCATTTGGTATACGGTGTTATTTACTTTTTTGATCATTGTAGATGTAGATAATTGAGAAACACGTGTATAAGTTTCAAAGCGAAACGGTTTATTATAATCACACAAAAATGCGCGTAAACAATAGCGAAAAGCATGACCCCAGATTCTACACCCGTTTCAGTGAATTATCCCTATAATTGACGGCTGAAAGTGACAACCGAAGATAAATGAGTTGCCGATGAAGATTTACGTGGTCTTGTCTTCCTAGTTCACGATAAAGAGATATATCCTTGTTACAATGGGATTGATGTTTATAGGACTGGATCAATATATTGGTGTATCTATGGCCTGATATCACATGTTCCTGGGGTCATAAGACTGACCGGTTGCTCCATTCCAACTGCAATGGCTCCTTCAAAAAGGAGCTTACCTCTATTCTCGCTTTACTGTTCCATGGATATCAATAAAAATGGTAAAATTGACCTTATGCTCTTAACCCTCGCCCGCACATGCCGTTTTCCCATCCTAGAACGCACATGGGGGGGGGGGTTGCCACCCCCCCCCCCCCGCGCCATTTCGTTCCTGTTGGAGATAGAGCTTAGCGGTAAAGACCAAAAAGATTCTTTGGGAAGAGACGAATCCAATGATACCCGATTTTACCTTCTCAGGTCAGTCATTGACCTTCCAGGTCAGGTCAAACTAAAAAATGCTGCTGTTTTGGGTCACCGTTGGATATCAAGTGCGCTGCTTATCAAATACCGATGACGATGCTGTTTTTGGTGCCAAGCCAGCTAGAACCTCTTTGTCACACTACCCGACCAGAATTTTGCTGCTGAGGTCATTTCAGGTCAAGTTAGGTCAAGGTCAATTATATGTGTTTGTATGTCTGTGTGTGTCTGTGTGTATACTGATGTGCGCACCGATTGCTTTTTGGGTCCATATTACATGAAATGATGATCTGAGAAGCTTTTACCAAAAATGCAGTCAAAAAACTTCACAAAAAGTAACTTCAGCTTCCCTAAAACGCAATTATCTTAGATGACCTAGGTTGACCTTGACCCTGACCTTGACCCCTGCACATCGTCGAACAACGTGTTCCATGATAGGTGGGAGGTAAGACTGGCAAAAAAGGCCGAAATCAGGGTGTCAAAAGCTCACAAGGCCCATGGCAAACGCAAAATGCTGAGAATTGGCCATTTGGGTCATGACATGACCTGAAAAACAAGGTCATATCTCCGAAACCAAAAATCACAGAAACTTGAAATTTTCAGTGGACATCAATAAAGGATAGAGGAGCAGCTATACGAAACATCAGCCTTCTAGCTCTAAAAATGTTGAGTGCAGAGCAGAAAGACTACCTGGGGGGTGGCAACCACCCCCCCCCCCCCCCCATGTGCGGGCGAGGGTTAATATCGGATGAATTAATTGAAAAAGGTCCAATTAGTTTATCCGATATTATGAGCATAAGGTCAATTTTACCAATTTTATTTATTACAATCATGCTCAAAGAAACGTTGTACCATATAAAACTATGTGGTCCATGGATATGCTGATATGCTTCTCATTCCCAGTTGACTTTCTCATTGTTTTCAATGTAGAATATTCACTTATAATTTGACTTAAATGTTTGTGTAACTAACAAATAAACGAGGAAAAAATAAATGTAGGTAAGCTGTAACATTTCTCCATTCCATATGGCTGCATAATAGCCGTTTTCACGACGGCCATCTGGTACACATTTGGTGCACATCTGGTGCAGATCAGGTGCAGATTTGGTCAAATCGGGTTCAGTGTGTCTCTTAGTAGCTATCAGCTAGGGCTACACTAATTGCTTATATGCCTGCTTTGTCGATTATCAGAGAGCATCATCGATTAAAACACTGAAATGAATTCATAAAATAAAGATACTTGCTGTAAAAGAGATTAGGTGCAGATTTGGTCAAATCAGGTGCACTCGCCGGATAGCCCGTCGTGAAAACGGCAAATGTGTGTCTCACGTTTGACCAACTGCCATGCAGTGTGGATGTAAACATACGAGTACATGTATGTAGAGAGGGAGGTCTGGAGGATCCCTATCAGAGCTGATGACATGTTGCAATAAAACGAAAAGACGGATCCGTCACAATTTTAACAAGATATCATAGCACCAACATGTGTACTGCCCTTCTGTACCGCCTCCCAAGTGCCGGCCTCACCCCTTCACTTGGTCTCTTTCATTGGATTCTGACTGAACGACTATCGCCATAAACCGGGACTGTGTTGGGGGCGAAACTGCACGTGAGCACACCGAGTCACGTGCTGGTCAGGCGAGCAAATGGCAGTGGGGTCGCGGCGCGCGTGACTGCGGAGAAGGTTAGTCGGCAGTTGCAGACTTCAGGCGACCGTCGCGCACGTGACACAGGCTTCCATTGCCGCGACCTTCCGAGGCACGGGATTGCGACAGCGTAACAAGACGAAACCCCTCGGCCGGACTTCCTGTAGAAATTCGGTCCTCAGAGACGACCAGGAGCCGCCAGCTGTTGGTTGGGACATCCTGTGTCGGTCTCCCACGGGTCAATCCGGATCACAGGGACTTGGGCTGAATGTCGTGAAAGTTTGGTACTTTGCTCACGGTCTGCTGCGCTGGTGTGTGTGAGAGAACGCACCGGGGCTGCGGGGCTGCTTCAGAGTCGCAGCCTTACTCACAAACGAAATATCGATTTTTAGCAGACGGAAAGGAAGACGATAGTTAGGTAATATCACCAAGCGACGATTCCGAAACGCACATAATTTGCTCTCCCTATGGGGTTGAAGTTCAGGTCAAGACCTCAGGAAAGGTCAAGGCAGTCGGTTTCCATTTCAATGATTGTGAAAAGTGCAAGCTAACTTTTGCTGCTCAGATTAACACGGCAAGATATTGTTACGGAGCGAGCGAAGCGAGCGTAGTCTTTCCTTAGATTAACGGAAATTTCTGAGTATGAGCGGCCGGCCGGCCGTGCGGACGCTTTTGCGAGGCTTATATCTCAGCAACCACTTGACCGATTTAGATGCGGTAATTTTTGTAGGGTAGCTTCATTCCTTCTACCAAGTATTGGACTATTCCCGATGCATGTGGGTGACCCCTTATGCACGTGCCACGTGCAAAACGAAGAGGTGTCAGTTTTGTAATTGTTGCAATATCTCGGTAACTATTGGGCCGATTGCGCTGAAAGTTGGCAGGCAGGTAGGCACCCACTAGGCAATACATATCCATGTACCACAGTTGGGGTGCTGCTGCACGTGCGCACGTGCAGGGGTCGATTCCAGATCTCGAGAACGGCTGGACCGATTGCGCTCAAATTTGGTACGCGGTTAGGGACCGGTTAGTAGGGTGCCGTGCAAAAGTCAGCTGGGACCCATTTTGCACGTGCGCACGTGCAGGGTGCCGCTTCCAGATCTCGAGAACGGCTGGGCCGATTGTGCTCAAATTTGGCACATCGCTAGAAACCGGTCAGTAGGGTGCCGTGCACAAGTCAGTTGGAGGTACCCCCTCGAATTTCGCACGTGCAAGACTCACCCCCTCGCTCGCTCCGTTAGTCGCCCCAAAAGGCGCTATACTGGTGTAAAGGCTGCTGGGGCGACCTATTTGAATTGAGAGCGTGATGAGTGGGCATTTTAGCACGTGCAGTGTGTCAATTGCTGTCAATGTCAATGTCATTTTTAAGAAGAAAATGTTTTTAATCACATTCACTCACGACACAAGGCTATATAGGCCTAACTGAGACGGGCCATCCAAGGACCTAACCTAAGTTAATTAGTGTGCATTCATTGACAGTGGCGGATCCAAGGGGGGCATGGGGCCATGCCCCCCCCCGGGCCTCCTGGGTGTCACCATCACGGAGTTTTTTTAATTCATCACGGAAGTCACCGACGGGAGCTTCAACCCAGAGGTCGCCTAAGAGGGCACCATACAAAAGGTCTATAGGATTAGGGTACCGTTTTCGTGGTCTCCCGGAGGCTCATTTCTGTCCCTCGCCTCGGGTGGGGCTATTTCCATCCCGAGGTCCGCGGGGGCACCATCTCGAGTTCTCCGGGGGCACTATCCCGAGTTCTCCGTGGGCACCATCCCAAGGTCGGAGGAAGCACCATCACGAGGGTCCGGGGGCACCATCCCGAGGTCTCCGGTGGCACCATCGCGAGGTCTGGGGGCACCATCCCGAGGTCGGAGGGCAGAGGGGGCACCATCCCGAAGTCTCCGGGGGCACTATCCCGAAGTCTGTCTCCGGGGGCACCATTCCAAGTTTTCAGGGGCACCATTCCAAAATCCGAGGTCTGAAGGAGCACTCTCCCCGGGTCTGAGGGGGCACCATACCGAAAAGTAAGTGGCCGAAATCTGTGTATTTTTTTAGGGGGGGGGAGGGCACCAAATGCCTGGGGCACCACAATACCGTATGGCCTCCTCCCCTGACGAAATCCTAGGTCCGCCACTGTTCATTGAGGCCCTATTCATTACACCCAAGTTTTTAGAGACGATTGCAAACATGTGTGTGTCTCGTCATATTTTTTCTGATATTGCGGTAAAATGCCCCGCTTACGAATCATGTCGCTGACTTCTAATTGCCAGCGTTGGGTTATGTTTTCAGAAACTTTTCAAATAACCTACGATATCGTCAGGCTTTTCAGCAACAGCCCTGACTGAGCTGAGTGGAATGCTTGACGAGCTCCCTCCTTGTTTTGCTCGCAGCGAAACTCGCTCAACTGCGATCCGACCTACGAGTTGGAGGAAATGATTATCGAGTCGCGGCCTCTGCACAAGAAGAAGAAACGTCTACTGAAGCAGAAGTCGGTCCGGGATGGTCTCGGTCAGCAGGCAGAACAGGTAAACGGCACCGGTGCCGTGACTCAACAAAAAGGCCATAAATAGTCACATGGGAACGCCTTAACCCGCGCCCTGCTGGGGGGGGGGGTGTTTGAACACCCCCCTTGTGGTTTTTCGCGGATATCTCAAAAACGGCGGCGCGGAGCGCCGCCGTTTTTGGTACACCTTATCATACATCAATTCTACACATGTTGTGAAAATTTCAGACCAAGGTCATTCAAGGTCAGGTCACCAGGTCACTTGAAGTGACCTCACCTCATAAAAACTTTCAATGTCTGTCATAGCTACACCGAGTGACCGATCGCTTTGAAACTTTCAGCGATTGCTAAGAGCAATAGCATGTACAAAATGTATATCTCAGAATTTTGATATCGATGACCTAAGGTCAGGTCAATTTTGCGACCTCCCCATTATAAGTCAATGGGAGAAAATTGAAATGCGCCTCTTTTGGAGGAAAGACATTATAAACACTCCCAAACACCGAATTACAAGTGGTTTAGACACACTGAACTTGAAAATGGTGTCCGTGACCCTTGTTTATGCCCTGAGGTCATCTTAGGTCACGAATGGTATCTAACAGTTTTTCGCAAATAACTTTTGATAGAGGCATGCTAGAGCGATGAAAACGCCTTAGATGTGTTCAGCTCGACGATACGGATCGACTGATATGCAACATGACCCTTCCCGGTCAGGTCATGACCTTGACCTGAGGTCAAATTTTCAAGTTGACCTTTCAAGGTCAAGTTATAGTTCATTCGATGCGTCTTGACGAGAGGAACACGATGCCGGTAAAAGTAAGCTCGTACAAGGCTTGGGTCAAAAGTTATTGCAGAAAAACTGTTTTCGAAAAAATCGGCTATTTTTGCAGTTTTTGCCCCCTGCAGGCAAAACCGTTGACGTTAGGTCAAATCTGAGAGAATTACTCAGAAAGGGCGTTAATAGGGCTATCGAATGCGCTTTTCCGCGGCGCTGTAGCTCTATTGGTTCCCGAGTTATGCGTTGGCTTCTTGGAAGTTTTCGACATTCGACCTGGAAATCGGCGAAATTTTGCCTTCAATGACCTCTGGTCAGGGCTGCGGAGTCGATGGATTTACGGCGACTCCGACTCCGACTCCGACTCCGGCTTTCAAAAACCAACTCCGACTCCGACTCCGACTCCGGGCAGAAATGTCGACTCCGATCGACTCCAACTCCCGACTCCGACTCCGCACACATGGCAGGGCTGCGGAGTCGACAGACTTTCGGTGACTCCGACTCCGACTCCGGCTGGGGTTTCCAATATCGACTCCGACTCCGACTCCGACTCCGGTCACAACTGTCGACTCCGACCGACTCCGACTCCGACTCCGACTCCGACTCCGCAGCCCTGCCTCTGGTGACCTGACCTTTGACCTGACCAAAAAATTGACCAAAGTGATTTCGTCATTATTTTTTACGCTCTTTCGAACGCCGCCTTCCGCGTATCGCTACGTGGCCCAGGAGCCGAGTTACAAGGGGGGGTGTTCAAACACCACCACCCCCCCCCCCAGCAGGGCGTGGAAATCCAGGACCCCCAGCAGGGCGCGGGTTAATACACGTAAGTACGTAAATGCTCGGGGATGTGAAGCCAGAGCTTCTGGCGCCGGAGCTATACAGCCGGTACATTGCTCCCGAAGCGTGGGAGCCGGAGCCGCTGTGATATTTTTCTCGGAGCCGGGACTGCAGCCGCAGTGTTCACCCGGAGCTTGAGCCAGAGCCATTCAAAATTTGACAGCGCGCTGCCTCCGCGGCCGGACATAATGGAAAGCGGCGGCGAGTCGCTGGTCGGTGCCATATCGACCACGGTCGGCTTTGATGCACCGATAGCGCCGCCGTCTAATCTAGTCTAATACCGACTCAATCCCTCAGTCCTATTGCGTGACCTGGTGCTGTGAACATTGATTATATGATGGAATTTCGCCGGCATTTCGCTGCGCCGTTATGCCGGCGGTAATAACCGGCGACCCGCCATGGGAGCTGCAGTTGAGTGAGTCCGACTGGGGGCACGAGGGAAAGAGGACTTGGTGTGTTTTTCGACCAGTCCTGTCCCTCTTTGGGTCGCCATTCGAAATAAGTGTGGTTATGATTTTTTTGCTGTTTTTTTATTTTACATATGTACCTGTTCGCTAAATCAGCTTCGTGAAACATGAACAGTCGAGACCCGCCAGTATAGGAGAATCCGACTGCTTTTGCCCACCTCGATATAAAATACCAACATCCTGTATTTCCGTTCTACTGTACTCAGTATGATTTGTTCCTCCAATGTCCGTTTACGTTCCACGCCGCCGTGGCCGCCCGGTCAGTTCCCATCTCACACTCTCCGTCCCTGTGATCGTCCACAGTGCGACGACCCGGTCCAGCAGCGGCTCCAGTCCGTGGCCGGAGACTTCGTGGTCTACGACCGCGAGAAGGAGCTCGCGCAGAAGCGGCGCGACCAACTCGAGGAGGATTGGGAGCGCGAGCTGGCAGAGAGCATGCGGCGCAGCACCCCCATCTCGGCCGTAGACGGTACGGTCATCGAGCGGATCCGCGCCGAGCTGGTGGCCGGCGGCCGGCCGCTGACCGAGGCAGAGCGCTCCGCCGGCAGCCGTACCGTGCAGGCCCTCCAGGACCTCGAGCTGCGGCGGCCGCCGGCCGAGAACCGTACCTCACACCTCACCACGCCGGCGAGGCGCCGCGCCCGGCTCCGGCATCAGATGACTGTGACCTAGGTGGCGCTGGTGATGCGTGGACTGAGTGTAGGTGGCGCTGTCTGTGGCCACCGTGGGACCGAGCGCTGCTCCGTGAGTGTTGCTGAAGGCGTGAGGAGGCGGGATGGTGGCTGTGTGGACTAGCCGGCCGTCCTCCTGATGTCTGTCTGCGCTCCGCAGAGCTCCCTATGACGCTGTGACGCTGGGTCTGAGCTGTGTGAGCTGGACGCTATTCAGTGAGGACCTGGTGACCTGGGAGAGGACGGTGGAAGCTCGGAGCTTCTGACCGGGACTGCCGGCCTATGAACTGTTTGGGGACAGTCGGTGTCGAAACTGCTTTCCACCAATCAGCAATCAGGAACTGCTTTCCCCCAATCACTAGTGGGCTGAGAACCAGCAAGGAACCACGGTAATGAATGCTGATACCACTGTACCTAATCGTAATGCTGTACTGGAAACCCCACCTTGGGACCGTTGAACTGAGGCTACTATACGAGTAAATAGGTATTCGAGCCACTGGACTGATACCACTGTACTGAGGCCATTATACGGAGACCACTCTACGGCTGAGTAAGGACAGTGTACTGTGACGGGTGACTAAGATCATTGTTCGGCCCATGAATACCTACTAATGTGGGTAAATTTTATCCACCAGTGAGCTATACCGGGACTACGTCAATCTTCTCGTCTGTGCCTATACCTATTCGACCCTCACGGCTTTGCAGACGGATCACAACAGGTGTCGTTGCCAATAGAAGACAAGTAGGTAAACACGAGCCGGAAAAGCAATAAAGCGAAATCGACGAGACAAACAAGTCCAACATGGAACGACAACAATGCGGGATCCAAATAAACTCGACAGGGTGAGCTTGTAAATACATTGTCCTGTCTATCGAAACTTGGACTACTGGGCTATCGGCAAAATGGCGTACTGTGCTATCGGCAACATTATCGAGTGAAAGGCGAATGGAAAGCAAACACGCCCAATAGGGAAAAAATGTTGAAACTTACGCCTTATTGCATACACAGCTATACGCTCACCACTTCACAGCAGGAAAGGCCTGGTGAATATTGGGTTTGTGTCACGTATTTTGTAGTGGGAATAATGGTGCAGAGGAGAGACAAATTATACAGAGACATATGCAAGACGGATTGATACCTAATTCAATAGACAGAGACAAAGACGTCATCTTGCGGAGCTGATGATGCCTTTACCATTTCACATCTTCCGAATCTATTGGAATTGAAGATATGAGTAGATGGTAGAACCCGTAGACCATCATTGAGATGGCAATTGACAGGTAACTGAAATCTAGACTTAACCCGCGCACCGAGACTTAATCTGCGCCAACTTCGCACCGACGGGGGGGCGGATGACCGCCCCCCCCCCCTGAGATCTCAAGAACGAAGCAAGATAGCGACAAGCGGTAAACGGCATCGGATATGCACGGTCAAGATCTACAATTTTTACAAAGGTCATTTTCAGGTCAGGTCAAAGATGACGTCACAGGGGTCGAAAAAGTCAAAATGGCGGCGTTAGATATGGAGAGTTTTTCTCGAATAACTTTCGAATTAGTCAAGATAGGAACAAACTAAGGGCATCATCGTAATCCTCTCGTCAATCCGCATCGAATGATATATGTTGACCTCGAAAGGTCAAGGTCAAAGGTTGACCTCAGGTCACGTGACCTCGAGGTCATCATGTATATCATTCGATGCGTCTTGACGAGCTGAACACAATGAGACCATCCACGCGTCTGTATCTTGTTCCTGTACGGAGTTATTGGCCAAAAACCTTTGGTGACCTTTGATGACGTCACATGACCTCACAGCTGCCCAACAGCAAAACAGACCTCAAGGTAGTGAAGGTTGATCGTATATAAAGTCATGTATGGTATATGGGGCCATTCCGACCCGTTTTAGTGGTAAAAACAGGGAGTTGATTTTTCCCCCATTGACTTATAATGGGGAGGTCGCGAAATTGACCTGACCTTAGGTCGCCGATATCAAAATTCTGAGATATACAAATTGTAGCTACTAATGACCTAATAACATCCTGCGACTTTCAAAGGCCTCCGACATCTACTGTAGCTCTGGCACGGTGACAAAGTTGCAAAAAAGTGACTTGAGGTTGGGTCATTCAATGTGACCTGGTGACCTGACCTTGAAAGGTAGGAGGCTCAATCTTGCACACCATGTGTAAAATTGATGAGGGAATAGTCATACCAAATTTTCCCGCTATTCGCGAAAAACCTCAGGGGGGCGGATATCCGCCCCCCCCCCCCCCGTCGGTGCGCGGGTTAAGCTTATTTAGAACAGCTTTAGCTAGGTAACTTTGAATCACAGTGTGACAGTTCTACGGGTTTGTCGCTATCTAAGGATAATTCTGGATCTAAATATGATACCTCTATCAGCGAGCGACCATGACCGTTAGATGATGTTGGATAAGAATGGTGAACCACTTCACTATCAGGACAGGTTCAAACCCGACACGGGACCGTCCATGAACCACCGCACATCCTTACAGGACTAGAAACAGGGTCACTGACATTCCCGACCCTGATCCACTGACCAGGAACGAGGACAGGCCATCGCCCGTCGCCCGTCGTCCGTCGTCCGTCGTCCGTTCGTCCGGGCTCGTCAGCCCAATGACCGGCTCGGGATCATCCGGCGCCGGCGCTGTGACCGTTTTCACGCAGTTCCCTATACTCCCGACGCGGCTCAGAAGGCCGGCGAAAGTGCGGCATCGTGACAGCTGGCTACGATCGACTGGCTGCATGTGCTTCGAGCCGTGAGCTGAGAGCCATGAGCCGAGAGCTGAGTGCCGGTGAACCGTGTCCGAACTGACGACAACAAGTGACGTAGACCAACGGTTCGTCAATTTCCTCAACTATCCGTCCGTCCGTCCGCGCCCGCACCCTGCCTTGCCGGTCGTGGTGAGCTACCTACTGGTTCATCACTTTCAGTGACAAGTGTCTACGCACCATCGCTCCCAGATAGCACAGCAGATGTTACTGCTTTTCTGTGAATGGGTCAAGATCTCCACGCCGAAGAACTCTCCAAACTTTGATACGATCTATCTGCCGATCAATCGTCAGCCGTTTAGAGGAACTCTCTCGACACCAGTTACACGCTTCACGTTTCAAGCTAGCCGCTCACGTCTAACAATAACCGGCACGCTCTGGGTCTCCTTTTATCGGTAGGATTTCATGCGAACGCACATTAACCCGGCTGGGCCCGGGGGGTAATCCCAACCACCGCAGCCCGGGGGAGGCGTTTTTCGCCCCCCCCCCCCCTCCCTGTCTAACTACGTAAATAAGGGAGCTACGGAAACAAAAGCGATACCAAACGAAAGGTCCTTACGAGACAATTCTGAAACACCTAACATTTTTGACTTCAGGCCAATTTTCGAGGTCAGAGGTCAAGGTCAAAGGCAAAAACCCGGCACATGTGTAGTGATCTCAAAGTAAGCGTTCTAGAGGACGGCAGGATGCATAAAACCGGCAAAATTGGGTGTCAACGAAAGAAGAGAATCTGAGGATTCCGAAAATGTAATGAAGGATTAGAGGAAAATAGATGCCAGATTCGTGATCAGCGGGCACAAATCCATCATAAACGACATTTCATGTGTCAATTAAGGGTCATTCGAGGTCACATGAGGTGAACATAAAGCTTGACCTTTTCCAAACAAAATATGTATCATTCGACGCGGCTTGACAAGGCGAATGCGATGGTACCACTGCCTTAGCTCTAGGGTCATTTTTGTCGAAGTTATTTGCGAAAAACTAAAACCACATTTCGAGGTCATTGACCTGACCTCTGACCTCAGGCCACCAATTTTTTTTATTCTTCACTAGGTCAAACTCTATACAACCGTGCTCGTAATTTGTCTTGATCTCTAAAACTCTATTTTAGCAGCCATTTGAAGTTCGCGTCTGTGACGCCAAAGTTTGCCGTGCAGGGGTCTATAAAAAAAATCGACCCTGTGACGTCATCAAGGGGACTAGGTCCAAATTTTTTACTTGAGAAAATGTCAAATTGATGGGAGAAAAGGTACTAAAAGTTTCGCTTCCCTATCCCTAAGCGTTCGGGAGCTATCGCAAATATTCGCCAGGGGGAAACGCCCCCCCCCCCCGGCCCCGCGAGGGATAAATTCGGTTCAGTTCAGTTCACTTTATTTAAGTAACAGAAATAAAGCAATTAATATACAATTCATTGATTGTATTTTGCGATTCGACTCGTCTAACGAATCGGATTCGACTCATATCTACTTTTTATTTAGGTAGGTATTGTGTTCTGTTGGAGTAAGTTGAACAGTGACATTTGGTGAATCAAAGCTGTCGGCAACTAATGCTGTTTAGACATTCATTATCAATCTACCTATGTATTGTGTAATGTGTATGTAGGACACTTCAATCTTGTCAGTTGTCACTTTTGGGAGTCATCTCCCGTCAGAACAACTGATAAGTCGGTTGTCACCTACCCGTTACAAATATAATCCACAGAAGCATGCCGCGCTTGAGTAGCACGCTACACTAACGACAGTGAACACTGGAGCCGGATGATTGAGCACAAGCTATACTATACTCGCTGGCCGCACAGCGTAGCGGGCTTGCCTCAGCAACACTACCGCACGATTTTCGCGCAATGTGTTACCAAACATCACGCTGACGTGGCTCGTGATCGGGTCATAGTCGTGAGGCTGCCGACCCGCCGGGAACAGTCAGTGATCCGCTACAACCGACACTAGAAGGTCGGCCACCCCTGCCGAGTCGCTCATGACGGCGGGTCGGCCACCCCTGGACGCACCGGTGCGGTCACCTGTGTCCTGTCGGCAGCGGCAGTGGAGAGGCGCCAGTGTGCCGTCGGTGCCGGTGAGAAGCGCGTGCTGCCGCGGCCGGCGCCGCTGCCGGACCGCCTGACGGGCCGACCCGACACTCCCGTGGATCATGTCTCAGCTAATGAGGTGAGTGTTCCCGCGATGGCGCTGGGGCGTCGGCCTCGGGAACATTGCTGCTAAAATATGGGTACATTTAACATTAGGACCCACATTTTCCACGACCAATTATTTACCCACACATTTAGGAGCCATCAGAATGCATTAGTGTTGTTGTCTGTCTGGAGATGCGCTGGAATCTAACCAAATTGACCACGAAAATGGCAAACCAGGTCAACGGCCTCCCTGCAAAACATCTGCTCACTTAATCCCATAAAGTTCGTATCTAGAGTAGGACATTTCTTCTGTTGCCAGCACAAAACGTTACCCATCATGCGATCTGGGTCTTGGAAGTGTCTCTTCTGCCGTTAGAAGAGCGCGCGGCGTTCTCTCCCTCCTCCCCAGCTATCCCCTGAATGTGTGATCGTGGTGATATGGGACAGGGTTGTGTCACTCGTCAGGTCAAGGTCATCAAGATTCTTGGATTGTACCATTGTGCATTATGTGTAGTGTCACCCTCTTGAAACAAGCGAAAACTTTTCAGGCACGAGATTGTTTCTAAATAAGTCTTGTCAGTGATTTTTGAACGAATCTCATTACGTGTGGGAATATTACCAGAAAAGTTGTGCGCCAATGAAACGATGCAGCGCAGCATAAGAGACATGGGATACGCTGCACATAGTCAGCGGTCTGAGAATGATCATTAAGGATAATTATATTAACATGCGTAGAATAATGCAGCTTTCACTCTAATATAATTACATGATTCGGAGATTTCCGTGAAGAAACCGTGCCGTTCCGTTCGGACACGAATGGGTGACGCCGTGGGTAGGTGACGAGCCGCTCAGTCGGACGCCGCGGGTCGGTGACGAGCAGCTCAGTCGGACGCCGAACCCCAGAGCAGGAATGTGTGTTTTCGGGTTTCACCTCAGTCAGAAATTGATGGCGTGCTCAGTGCTCTGACTGATTGATGTGGGAATAGTCAATGGCCTTGCTTTATCTTTCGAAGGCGTTTTTTAGTGAAGCCCTTTACAACAGCTATGTCAATCCTCTTTTATTGAAGCGATACTTACAGTGACCTCTCGTATGAAAATCAATTCCACTGCTTCTCATTGTTCCTATTTAATACTTTATTACGATCTACTCATTTGGCAGCATAACTCATATAAAAATACAGATTATCCCCCATGCAAATGCCTAGAGGATTTACGTTTATTAACCCGCGCCCTGCTGGGGGGTGTTTGAACACCCCGCTGTGGTTTTTCGCGAATATCTCAAAAACGGCATACATCAATTCTACACATGTGAAAATTTCAGACCAAGGTCATTTAAGGTCAGGTCACCAGGTCACTTGAAGTGAACTCACCTCATACAAAGTTTCAATATCTGCCATAGCAACACGATTGACCGATCGCTTTGAAAGTTTCAGCGATTGCTAAGAGCAATAACATGTACAAAATGTATATCTCAGAATTTTGATATCGATGAACTAAGGTTAGGTCAATTTTGCGACCTCCCCATTATAAGTCAATGGGAGAAAATTGAAATGCGCCTCTCTTGGACGAAAGACATTATAAACACTCCCAAACAAAAAAGTGCAAAGAATGAGCATAAGGTTATTTATGCATACTTTTTACATATAAAACTGTTCTATTTTGATCAAAGAGGAATCAAAAGTCGTATTCAAGGCTGAAGATCAAATGCTCTCAACAGCAGTCCCAATTATCTGGCAGCCCGAATCGCGTTCGCGTTGCGCCGTGATTTGGCCGCAATGACGCCGATTTGGAATGACCTGGCTCGGTTGCCCAACTCAGCGACGGTGACCGTATTAGAGGCATGGTATTTCGATATAGCGACCCAAAGCGGTGCGTGACATGCTTGAAGCCAGGTCTTTTTATGGCGCAACGGCCGTACCAGTGAGAGGTGCGCTCCATCTGTCCCGCTCCCACCGATACCGTCCCTCCTCTCTACCATTTTCTGCCGTTTTCTACCGTCATCGCACACCTGACAGAACACTCTGACGCAATTGAAAAATGATCGAAATGGTGTCATTTTAAGCGCTGTGTCATCTTTCTTCTGGCGACACGTTCTTTCAATTTGTACCAATAAAGTGGTCAGTAAACTGCATCCAGTAGCCTTTTAGTGCTCCGCTGGACCAGAGCGCATAGCGGTGCTAGAAGAGCCTCATGAGCACAGCCAACAGCGCTGGGATTTCTGCAGTGCTCCGCCTGCATACCGGAGTTGGAATAGTTGCCGATCCACACCCGGAGCGGCGCCGTGTCCGGCTGTTGCACGGTGCCACCTGGATTTCCAGTCGGCAGACTCAGTCGGTCAGGCCGCCCGGCAGACCAGAGAGACTGCCAGTCACCCTGAGCTGGTGCTCTTCACCAGCAGCCGGCCGCGATCCAGGCCAGGCGCCCGTGAATCCAGCATAACGGATTGGGTGCCTGGCTCGGGAGGGGTTAGGGGGAGTTTAGGATGCTGGAGACTGATGAACAGGGAACACCAGTTATGTTTACGGACAGTGCAACAAGAGTAGGGACTTTATGTCCTCTGCTATACAAATTCATTAAGAAAGGATTGTTCACCTAAAGCGCCTCTCCCCTATCGATTTGATTCTTCGGTGACTGCCCCCACTTTCAACGCTCGAGGGAAGCACTTATCTGCTTCTTCCTACTCAGTATGCAATATGCATTCGTGTTAGTCGACAAACTCAACGGGTCTGTATGCTTGTTTTGTTTCTAATGAACAGATAAGGATCACACGGGCTGCCTTCATCTTTTTCATCCGTAGTTAACCGTCCAACCGTAGACCCGCAATCCGTAGGACTGTTGTGTGGATGTTTTACCTCGCTTTTCGCTCGATTGTCACGTTTTTTTTTTTTGTACATTTACGAGATAACAACAAACCTCGAGCAACTGAGAAAATTCTGTCGAGTTTCTATTATCGCTTGAAATCAAAAGAACTATAATTAAATAGCAGTTTCATGCCAGTTTTTTTAGGCGATTATAATCGCAAACGTCTTTTTTGTACGACTTGCCTCGGGGTACGAAGGAATCACCCCATCTTTCTTTCATTTGGTATTCCATTTCATATGCAGATTTCACGTGGAATTAGCATCTGACTGTTTTGGTTTCGGCCGGTTATTTCCTGAGAAGCCAGGGATTTCCTATCCCAGCTTCCCTGCAGATGTCAAACACTGCTGTCGGATGTCAGACGGCATGTGAGAGAGCCGCAGTGATCTGCCGCGCTCAGGCAGGGTTAGTGGGCCGGCGGCTGTCCTCTGTCCCCAGTGCAGTGTAAGTCCTGTATAGACGGCGGTCTGTGGTTTGTCCGACACGGGCTATGCTCGGAAAATCTGGCGCACGTCGGACATTTCGCTGGCTGTCTTTCCTGACCTGTCCTCGTGAGTCATGAACTGTTGCCGACTATCACCTTTCCAATCTGCTGGCCTCTCCGTCCGACTTGCTTTTCCGTCAAATCACAATCAGCTATTTCCACCCTCTCTGTGGCTCTCTGTCTGATCTTCTGTCCCGTCCGCGCTCATGTCCTGTCCTGTCCTGTCCTGTTCGCCCTTCCCGGGTACACCAGTCTGAGCGCGTGCACCCATACCTCGGGCCTGCACCATCACACCACCAGCGGCACCAATGGCCTGCGGAGGGCACCAATGGCCTGCGAACGCCAGTGTAAACAGTCGGGACACGGCAGGGTCGAGCGCGCGCTGGTGTCGCCGGCGGCAGAGCGCTCTCTGTGTCTGCCGCGCAGCCGTCGACCGGAGAGCATCGGACAGAGGACCCACCAACGGCGGGCCCCACATGAGGGTAAGGCGGGGATACCGTATTTAAAACATCGAACTTTAGCAGTTTGCAAGATAATAGGCAGACTATAGGCCTCTGTTGGTTTGTGACTGTAATCGACTCCTTTAGAACCAAAGCTTCGCTGCCCAACTTTCATGATTCATTCACAATGGACGACACAGAACGGAAAAGGAATTAAAGTTGTGCTGATAAAAATGGAAATATTTTTGTTCTATAAGATAAAACTTTCGCTCACTTCAAACTGTTGTCACGAGAAATGTCATTTCCCTATGACAAAATATGAAACATCTTTGAATAACCTTGGAACAGCGAATCCAGGCGCATCATCGTTCGTCCTACTGTGCTACGGGCCACGAGCGCTGACGCTCCATCCTACACTGCCCTTTTGGGGGCTTTCTGCAGCACATTGTAATACAGAGGTACTACGTGACTCACAAATAAAATGTAGTATAGCATTCAAGTTAGTATGTCCAGCCTGCGCCGTTGTTTTGATGAATATCTAAAGAGTCGGACAAAGGTGCAATATCGAGGCCAATGTCAATGTCAGTTCACTGATCGCATGATCAAATAACGCATGTGAAATTAATAGCATGGAAATTGTGCATTAAATGCTACTTAGATGTTTTATTCATTAGGTTCTGGTAATGAGAGGGTTTTGTTTATCACCTATTAATGATTTAATGAAACCCTTCCAGAATAAGGTCAATGATTGTTTTGTTTAAATTTGCAGACCTAAACGTTTATTCAGCGTTAGCGTCAACTTCTTTCAACTTTATTTCAACTTTAGGCAATGCCAATATGCCAAGGCTGCATTTATCCTAGTTCCTACTCGACCTTGTAAGGCCAAAAGGTAAGCGTGAGGTTAATAACTATAAATGGTTTAGCACGTATAATGAAACAATGTATCTGAATAGTGACGGTGTTCCCGCTCTCCACCACACCGTCCGTCCCCAGCCGTACGCCGCTCCGTCCGTCCGTCCCCAGCCAGCCGACTGCCTTGGAAGGTCGTCTGCCGGCGGCGGAGCGAACTGGCACAGCGGGACAGCGGCCATGACCGGTCCGAAACCCGACCTCCTTCTTCCCTCTCTCCTGCCTTCCTCTCCTCTCCTCTCCCCTCCACACGGACCCAAAGAAAGGACTTGGACCATACAAGGTCCGGAGCGGATGCCATAAAATGGTCCCGGGGAACATTTGGCTTCGGCCAAAGAAAAC